TTCTTTATCTGGAGGTGGATTCACCTTGGCTGCTCTTCAGATTTCCTCCCCATGAGTTGCTCTGTGACTGGTGTGCCAGTAAGAGTGGGGGATGCTTGAGGACCCCTTTCCTGGGGATGGCTCACTTATGCCTTTTTGCTTTCCAGATAGAATGTCTGGACTGGCACAGAGACCTGTGGAGCTTTCATCCCCCTCTTCATCCCATGTTTGGGGTCTCCTCAAACCAAGATGGTGTCAAGAGTGTCCTGAGGGGTCAGGTGGTCTCCACTAACACCCAGCCCTGGCTAACTGCAAGTGCAGTCACCCCAGTGCCTGACAGTAGTGATGAGGGGACAAAGCATAACACTCCTTACGCAGCCAAGGGAAGCATAATCATAGAATCATAGAATATCCTGAGTTCCTTCAGCCTGCCCTGGGAAGCCATGTGGACTCCCCTCAGGCTCCCCTTCTCTAGGCTGAAAAAAACAAGGCACCTCAGTCACTATTCATGCCTTCCCCTCTAGATCCTTTTCCATCTTTGTAACCTTTCATTGGACATATGTCCTTCTAATATTCTAACATCAGCTCTGGCTGCAGAAGGCAGAGGATGATAGTTCAAGAAAGTAGTCTCCTACATGTAATTTCTTTGCTGATTCATTCTGAATGTCATCATTGAACAGTGTCTAATGTAAGTCCTTACCTGGTCAGCTAACTGGCTTAGTCTGAGCCCTGATGGCTTAGAATTTCTGTTTTCTTCTCATCATGGTATGCTTTTGAAGAAAGTAATTTGTTCATTTTTTTAATTAGTATTTTTTTAAAAAAATTTCTATGGAATATATATGAATATATATATGTGTTTTGAACATTATTTTTAGTTCTGAGAATTTTTTTAGAAAACAGTTACTCTCAATTAAGTAGGTGTAATAAAGATATTTAAGAAAGAGTCCTGTACTGTGTTGACCAATGTTGAACATAAACACATCTTCCAATTAATGTACAGACAGCTTATTTGACTGCCTCTGTTCTTAGCAGCTTACTTAAAGGAACCCACAAAACAGTTCCATACTGGGTTGCTGAGTAAAGGTGTCAGAGCAGGAGCATTCTGTCCTCTTTAAGCACTAGGATTTTTTTGCAGCTGACTGACAACTGCCTTTCTTCTGTCTCTAGCTTTTGAAGACTGCTAACAGTTGAGAGGAAACAAGGGAATATTGCAGCTCATGGAGGATCCTGAGAAATCAGTGATCTAGGGCAAGTATTAGAGAGTAGTTGCAGAGTGGTAGCATGGCAGTTGAATCCTATTCTTAGTAGCACAATGGATATGTTTCTGGTACAGCTACTGCAATCAAACAGTGACTAGTGACAGCAGACATATGAAGTGTACAACATTTTCTTCATCCCCTGTCTCTCAACTTTCAGATTCTCAGCTCAGCCCACTGAGCAAAACAAAGTGGAGGAGCCACAAATAGTCCTTGTTTGATTTCTATTGCTAAGCAAAATATTGCCTGCTAGTCAGAGTAGGGTGGTGTCTGCTGTCTGGGATGGTCTTTTTCATTATAGGTGATGATACAAAGGAGACTGGATGAAACATTTCAAAAGGAGAAAATGAACCAAGTCCTCACTCTCGATGGCATTTGTAGAAGCAGCTCTGCTTCACTGAAATCAAGTCTAAATCATCCCTTAGTTCCAGTGCCTCCATTTCAAATTAATAAATCTAATACCAAAAAGGTGTGTTAGTCATTAATATTTTATCCATTCTTATAATATCAACAGAGCTAAGCCCAGCTGAAGGTTTGGCAGCAAGCTGCTGAACACTGAGCCCAGCATGGGTGCATTACATTTCATTCATTAGAGCCATGTTTGTTGCTTCATGTAGGATTTGTGTAAAAACTTGTACAAATTTCTTATCCACAGAAACTTGCACCAAGCAAGTTGCTAAGCTCATGAACGGGGCGAAAGAAAGACTGTTCTATAATTTCCAGTTCAGTTATTACAGAGTGCACAAAATCCTAATTCTACTGTAGTCTAAGGAAGAACTCCCACTGGCTTAATGGGATCAAGATGGCATAAAGTTAATTTCCCAATACAATGTAGAAACCAGAAACTCTCTCAGAAGAGTGACTTCAATGGGGTCTGGACCTCAGGAGACGAAACTGTTGTCTCAGAGAGGCAAATGCTGTACTTTGCTGTTAGAGTAAGGAGCATTGCTGCAATATGCAGAAAAAGTTCTCAGTTTTATCAACTGATTTCCATTACGTAAGCAGAGTTTTGACCTCGTGAGAACAATCTGGGCATTTATTCTTTCTTTGAGGGCAATCATATTCACCTACAGCAAAATTATTTAGGCCTGTAAGGCACTGGAGAATGTCTTTTTTAAAGTAATATCCATAGTGAAGGGAACACACTTGTTTTATGTGAAGAGAACAACACTGGATTAATTTCATATACAGGGGTGTTTGTGCACTCAATATTCAAAGGTTATGTATTTCAGTTATGTTAATAAAGACCAATTCATGGAGTGCCCTCTTCCTGTAGTTTAATTAAATGCTCATTCTTTGGTGGGTTATCAGTGGTGAAACACCAGAACAATAACTGCTAGTATCAGGAAATTGGCATAGGCAGGTGAAAGCTGTTTCTCTTATAATAGTCCTGTGAGACCGCAGAAGGGTTCTTTTTGTTCAGCACAGAGAGGAAATTATTTACACAAAACATGATGTAAAGGGTGTTCAGATCTTTCAGCAAGTGGGCTTTGAGAACAAACACCTTTTTCATTACATAAGCTCATACCCACCAAATATATGAAGCACATTTTAACCAAACACCACGAGTTTCCAGCCTCAAGCAAAAATCTATGAAGTGAGGGAGTAGCAACGGAGTGCCCATCTTCTATGTCTCCTTTCACAGATGTTCCCATACTTGTGGTGGGAGAGCAAGATTTTGTGGGGCTGGCCTGCAATTTCTGAGAAGCAGGACCAATTTCCCCTCCTTAGCCAGCACAGGCGTTTCTCCAGTACAGAAACATTTGTGAAACCTATTCTTTAATCAGAATGGAGAAATTTGGGAGGTCATCTTTATCAGACAGGGTGTCTGCTGTGAATCTCCTGTGAATCCTGTGTGATCCTTGGACTGTTGTTGGCTCTGTGGGCTGGCACCCACGTAGGTGCTGGAGATCTGTATGTATATGTAGCTACACACAGGACTGCACAAGACAGATGGGAAAGTAGCTTCTTACTTAGCTGCACTGAATCCTGCTAGCAGTCGTAGTAAAAAGCAATCAAACTGCTTTTAGTTTGAAAAGTCATGAGTTTACTCCTCCCTCTCCTGAGCCTTTTTTGTTCATAGACACACAAACATTCCAACAGTATTGCATTGCGCTGCGTTATTCTAGATAAAAATACTTAATTTTAGCCAGAAGCGCAGGATTATTTTTTGCTAATTCATTCTGCAAATTACTCACTTTAGACAGTTTGCTCTCCCTTTTGGCAGTCCACAGGCAATGCAAAACTGGTGTTAAATCAAGCTTCTTCACATTTTACAAAAGGGCCTCGATGAGAAAAGCCAAATAGCTGCTTCCGTGTCGTGCCTGGCCTAGTTATGGGCAACTTTTATTTATACCCTACCAAGATATAAATAACAATGCAATGATTGAAAACATCAGAGCTTCCTCCGTGTCATAAAATTGGGAAGAGGGAATAGTTTTGTGTGGTTATTGATTTCCAGCTGCTTAATTGGTGTTTACAATATCTCTCCTTGAAAATAGCCATGTGCATTTCATTCCCTACTTGCTTGTTTAATTTAATTTAATCAATTGTTACACACCTGTTTCCACTTACTTAAAACAAGAATTATCTACAGCGTAACGAATATGAAGAAACATTATAAGCAATTAATCTTTATCTTTGTAATGTTTTTCTTGGAATGGTATAATTAAAAATCTAAGCTTTAAAAAGAATCAGATAGCAAGTTTATACATTAAAATACCAGCAGACATGTGAACCTTCCTTTAAACTACATGGGAAGATTTGAAGATATCTGTGGAAAGAGAAGAAATATGACTTTTAGAACCTGTCATTGGAGATTGTTGGAAAAAAACTTTTGTTTTTCCTCTTACAAGGGATACTCTATTACTAAATGCTGGGAAGAGAGAGCTGCAGAGGATATCCAGATTTTTCACCAGCCAAACCAAAGAGAGATGAATAAGATCCTTGTTCATTTTATCATGTACTCTATGCCCAAGCACAAATAATACATTGCTTACTCTCTTAGTAAGGTAGAGAAGAGCATATCCAGCTAAGTTCATAGACCTCTTAACAAGACTGAAAACCAGCAAAGCAATAAAAAAATAAATAAATTAGCTCCTTAAATCTTATTTTTCATTTAATGATTTCTGAGCTCTTCTTGGTGCCAAGCAAGCCAACTGGACATCAGGCAGAGCCAAGGTGCTGGCTTCAGCCACCTTCTGCTTTCTACTGGGCTGTGCTGCAGCAGCACGGCTCTCTTACAGAGGGGCTGGCAGGTTCATCCCTGAGTATTTCTAAAAAGCAGCTCATAGATCCTCCTTTGCCTTCTGGAAAGTATAATTGCTAACAAACATTAAGAAGCAACGTTATCCAGAGTTTCATGTATTTGCTATTAACTGATTGATAAGCTAAATCAAAAGCATGAGATTAGTGCAGAGAAGCCCCGTGCTTTCATATAGCCTCTGAATCTCTCCCGTTTAGACACTTGGAGCTGGTACCTGTCTCCTCC